GGTATGTGACAAGGGGAATGATGAGAGCTAACTTTGGGAAAAGGTGTTGAGCTTTAGAAAATAGATTTAGGCTCTATCTCAGCAAATTCTTGTCACAGTAAGTTAAAAAGTCTTGGTTTCTCTGGATTGTGTTGAGTAAGGTTCATTCTTCGTCTGTGTTGAATCATATAGCTTTGTTGGGTGCTGCAGACATCAGCAGGGAACTTGCAGAGAGCTACCTTCCTCAATTAGTGGACTTCACACTCTGAATTCTGAGGTAGAAACTAACATTTGGAGGTGTTAAGGACTTTTCATTGTTTTATGGTATTGAACACCCTCAGGGCCCTGCACATCCAAATCAAGTGAACTACATTCTCAGACCTAATGTTTTTATTATATCTTTATGAATATAGCTTGGGATAACTTAGCACTTTTGTAAAAGGAACTTTTATTCATCTGTTTCAGTTGTTGTGTTGGGCTTACTGCTTCTGTCTGCTAACTTAGGCCTAGTCCTGGAAGCTTCCAGCCTTTATATCATCTAACCTAGACCTAGGATGTTTTCATAATCTGAGATTTACTGCTTAATAAGCTCACCTTTTCTTGTTCTGAGCTCATAGCTGGCTGGCTATTCAGCTGTTCTGGCTCAAGCTCCTCTCCCTACTAACTTACTCAGTCTGGCTTTTCTACTTGGTCTCAGACTTACTCCAGCAGTCTTTTCTAATTTTCTGGCTCCTCATTCTATGGCTTGTTCTGTCTTCACCTGTGTCTAGCTTGTTCTCTCATTCAACTTCTCTGTAAAACTTTCTCGGTAAAACTGCCTCCTCTAATTTTGTGTTGCTCCCTTAAGTAGCTTCCCTTTCCTCTTTCCTCTCATGAGAGTTGAGCATATCCTATTCTGTCAAATATTTCTGATTCATCACTTTCTTTTCTGCCCCTCAATTAGACATCACTTTCAAACATGGGTGCTTCCTTCTACAAACTATTTTTTTTTACCTTTCTTGTTTGGCATGTACCACCATGCCTGGACCTAAGCTTTTATTTACCTGAAACTTGCTCTATACCAGGCTGACCTTGAACCTAGACCTGCTTGCCTCTGTCTCTGGAATTAAAGTCATGTGTGTATTCCAGCTAGATCACACAGATCTAGACAGTCTTTGAATGTGATCTCTTGCCAGAGCAGCCATTTTCCGAATTAAAATTTCTCTACACACTTATATTTTTAATAATTTTTTTCTCCTTTTGAACATACACAGATGTATTTGGAAAACTTGTCATTGCTGTGCCTGAAGAACATGTGAAACACGCTATTCAGTCAAGCTGGTCTTGAACCTGCTGAGGCTTTCAGCCTTTCTGTTCTTGAGTCTTGGAAATAAGATGCACAACTTACCCCAGTGAAAGGATATTAAAAACAAATACCTGGCAGTTCTTAGTAATTCAAAGTGACTACAAATTGGAAAGCAAAGTCAGGGTTTTTTTTCCCTCCTTGTCTTACTGTTCTGTTGTTGTAAAAAGACTCCATGACCAAAGGCAGCTCTTACAGAAGAAAACATTTAACTGGGGGTTTACTTACATTTGGAGAATAGTCTATCATCATCATGGCAGGGAATATGGTTATAGGCAGGCACACAGGCATAGTGCTGGAGACATAGCTGAAGGCTTTCCATCCTTATAGGCAGCAAGCAGAGGGGGAGATACGGGGCCTGGCATGGGCTTTTAAAACCCCAAAGCTCACTTATAGTGACACATCTTATATAAGGCTACACTTCAAATTCTTCTCAAACAGTTTCACTCCCTGGGGACTAAGCACTTTGAACACATGAGCCTAAGAGAGCCATTCTCATTGAAACCACTGCTCCTGTTTTGCTAGTCCGTTCTGTGTAAGCCCATGGGAGTCATCAGATGTTACATGGGGGGTGAGGATGGAAATCTCAACAGATGCTAACTACATTCTCAAGAGCAGTGGTTCTCATTCTTCTAATACTGGACTCCTTTAATACAGTTCTTCATGTTGTGGTGATCCCCAACCATAGAATTATTTCATTTCTACTTTATAACTGTAATTTTGCTACTGTTGAGTTGTAATGCAAATATCTGATACACAGGGTATCTGATGTGCAACCCCCAAAGAGGCCATGCCCCACAGGTTGAGAACTACTGCTCAAGAGGTTGTACCCAACAACTAAGGCTCACCTGATGCTGTTTGGCAAGACTAACTGGTACTCTTGAGTCCTAAGCCCTCTGTTCTCTGTGCTCTACGTAAGCTCTTTTCTGTGCCTTGTACCTACCTTTACTCTTTTGACTCCAAAGTCCAAAAACTTGAGCTGACATCTTCGTATAAAGATGAGGGTTTGGGGTTCTGAGTCCTCACACTTTAGTGTCCTTGGTCAAAGGAATGTCATTTCCCGACCTCGAGTGTTCATTGTTGCCAGTAAGCAAGGTTTCTCAGTGTTACCTATTGGCATTTTGAGTCACATTGTTCTTTGCCCCGGGGTGGCATTGTAGGTAGGTTATTTACAATTTCCACGGCTCTACTCACTAGATAGTGGTCTGTATCGCCGATCCTGTTGTAACAAACTTGTCATGTTACCCTCAGTTAGCTGTTAAGCTTAGTTGATGTCAGAAATTCTAAGCTGTTGAAGTGTTTTTGTATGAAGAATGTCTTTTTCTACTGGGACAGGTGGATCCAGTGAGGGATTCAAAGGTGCTTTGAGAAAGAATGCAGCTCTCAACTTGCCATTTTTATAAGTGTTTAGGCCTGGAGACTTCCTTCAGAAAACACATTTCATCTCTCCCTCGTCAAGACCCTTCACCCTCTGGGACTCACTGGCTTGAGTTCTTCAACTCCTAGGAGCTGAAGGTAGAAGTGAGTTATCATTGTTTTCCATTTTAATGAATTTCAAAACACTTATTTTAAAAGTTTATAGGGTTTACCACCTCTGTGTAAAGGTGTTGAGAGATGGAGATGTAATCAACCTAAACTTGTCTCTTAGTGAGTGTTCATGGAGTAGAATAGTCTAGGAAGAAACTGAGCTAAGATACATTGATGTTTCCAACTCTTGCCTGATCTCTGGCTTTCCAGGGCAAGGCTTAGTCATCTTGCCAAGCCATACTACCTTCAGATGTCATTCCATTGCTCTTCTCTACCTTGCCACTTCAGGTTTCTGGTGTCAGATAGGTAATGTTACCTGCCTGGTCTGGGTCCAGGCCCTGACATGTTAGGCTTCCTATTTGAAGCTACCTAGGTAGACCTGAAGTTGAGTGAATGGCTCTTGGAGCCTCTGTAAGGTAGAGATACCTGCTCTCCAGATGCTCAGTGAGCAAATGTGACTAAGATTCCCCAGTAAGACTTGAAGGCTCTTCTTCAAGAGCTAGAAGTCATGATCACTCCCTGGGGGTCAAATCCCAAAGCATGTATCTGTTTTCCATCAGCTGTGAGAGAAAGCCACTGGTCAATATGGGGAAACTGAGTGGGATGGCTGGGTTCTCCAGGCACATTCCAGACCACTGGTGTCAACAACAGCAGCAACTCTTACTGCAGCTTACTTACATCTTGCGGGCGGCAGCAGCCATGGTCCAAGATGGCTCACTCCATCTCCCTTTTTATATGTTTGCCGAACCAACAAAAACACAGAGTGACATAATAAAGACAACCAGGGATGGCCACCGTATGTTCACACACCTGAATAGACCAGGGGGGTCCAGTGAGGTCTCACACTGATCCCAGACACTGGGTCTGAAGCTGTGGTCAGCCTGTCATTTATGTCCCAAACAAAAGGCACTTTAACCAGACTTACCTCTGGAGATGACCAATGAGATGACTTTCGATTTTGTTGATTTTAGGTGTGGAAGTATCAGATTCCTTCAAGGCTCTGGGCAGTGATCGATCAGAGGGAGTTCTGGGACCCTGGAATGTCTTAGGTTGTACACCAACTAGAATTCTCTTGACCACCACACTCTTTCCTACTCTGAGGGGCTCTGAGACCCCCAGTGTCTTGAGGTCTGGTCTCTGGGGATCTCACTGGCCCCCCCCCAGAAATGTTGTGAGATATCCACCAGAGAAGACCACTTTGGCATGGGTTCAAGCCAGAAAGTCTTTATTAACTGGCAACTATTACCTGCATGTTAAGGGCTTGAGTATAGTCCCAAGCCTTTTCAAAGTAAGCTTTTAAGTACAAAAACCACATTCTGCATTGACACATTTCAATTAGCAAGAACAGTTAGCTGGAAGGGAACTACAGAAGCCAAAAAGCAAGATTAGTACACTTAGGGACTTTCCCAGAACTTTGAACTTTGATAGGTTAGGTCTTTGTTCCAGTTTTGGCAAATGTTGCTGACTCTGCTGGATTTCAAGACCTGAATGGTACTTCCATCATGGCATCCTTCAGTTGTGCTAAGGTCTGGGGGCCTATTACACTTATAGTCTTCAGCAGCCAAATACCCTGGTAGCTTACTACAGACCAGTTTTGAGATATAACTAACTGGAAAGTAGGAGGTACAGTTAAAACAGGGCACATTGTTTTCACCAGCAGATTCTAAACTTTGGGAGTTTGCCACAGGTGTGAAATACTAGCGCTGCTTTGTGGGAGACAACGCATTCAGCATTCTTCTGTAGGAAACCTGGATGGAGAGCCTCTTGTATCTTTTAGCCTCGTTTAGTCTAAATTTGTTTTTATCACATTTTTCCTTAGTATATTTTAACAATGTAGTTGCTACAGTAGCAGGCACATGAGTGGCAGAACAGTGTTAGAGCAAGTTTCTCCTGAGAGAAACTTGAGCATAGAGCATGTCTGACTCTTCTTCTATCCCCCCTCCACTCCCAGAATTTGTACCATTTAAGCTGTGCACACACATCTGTGTGGCTCTTACTATGTCAGGAAATAGACACGACCTGAAGGGAAGAGGACATGAGGGGTTTTTAATGCTACAGGAATGGACGTGCCAGCTCAGCACCGTGTATAGAAGGTGAGCCCTCATGCAGTGAAGCTGACACGTTATCACCACAGTGAATGTGCTGCATCTGGTCAGAAGCACCTTCTGTACAGGAAGAAAGGCCCATGCTCCTCATACTCAAAGCGGTGGACCCACAGTGGTTGAAAACCCTGGAGTGAGGCTAGGATAGAGCCACCAGTCCACACTGCAGTGTCTCTCTCAGGCAGCACATTTACCTGGGGGGTGTCGTTGGGACACATGCTGCTCAATTCCTTCTGCAGACGGTTAGGGAAGCCCCGAAGCATAGTGCTGCCCCCACAGAGCAGGATGTTCCCCATGAGGTCTCGCTTGAGGGCAATGTCACACTTGTTAAGGCATGACACTGTCTGGGTGTGGAGGCCCAGCTGCATGGACTTGATCAGAGACGGCTTGAAGAACATCTCTGAGCAGAGGAACCTCTCTTGGCCCAGACGGATCTCTTTCCCATCAGGCAGAGTATAATGGATCTCATGTTGAATGGGAGGGATTTTCTTCTCTTCAATGGGGTCTAGAGCCACAAAGCAGCATTTTGTCTTAATGTCCTCCACAATGCTGATCTGGTCCTCAGTGAAGTATTTTCCAGAGCTGTTCATCAAGCTCATCAGGTAGGTTGTCAGGTCAGACCCTGCATAGTCTAGCCTCCCTGTGATGCTGGGCAAAGGATAGCCCTCATAGATGGGGACCACATAGGACACGCCATGGCCAACCTCCACCACCAGGCCAGAGGTGCGTCCGTAGGAGTACATGGACAGGCGGGACTGGTAGGCGATGTGCATTGCAGGTGTGTTGAAGGTCTCAAACAGCATCTCAGCATACTTCTCTCTGTTGGTGTGAGGGCTCAGGGGTGGGTCTGAAACCAGGACTGCGTGCTCCTCTGGGGCGATCTTCATTTCATGTCGGAAGAGGTATTCCCAGATGTCCTGCACTGTGTCCCAGTCCACAATGATGCCATGGTGTAGGGGGTTGACCAGCTTGAGATGTATCTCTGGATTAAAGAGCTCATGCCCCACAAAGGTCTCTTTTCGATTATCCCCAGTCTTGGCTGTCTCCATGTAGGGCTTGCCCACTGTTGTTGAGATCATATGAGTGGGCTTTGGCAGGCCAGCAAAGCCACATTTACAGAAGCCGGTGCCAAGGTCGACAACCACTGCTTTGGTCACCTCTAGCCTCGGCCTGTCTTTGGACACAGTTGACTTAGCAGGGTCTTCCACCTCGGCACTGTCCCGACGGACCCACACTGCTCTCTTTGCTGGGCCATCCTTTAGAGAGGCAGTGTGGAGGACTTGTGAATGCATAGAGGCCTGGTCACCAGCTCTTGTGGCAGGCCCATCCCCTATGTCTGCTGCCTGTGGAGCCCACACACTGTCCAGAGACATACTGCTCTCAGAAAGCTCCTGATCCTGCTGGCCACAAGGCCTGAAAGGCCTAAATCAGAGGACAGCTTGAGAATCTGCCCAACAGTGACATCACTGATTATGACATAATCCAGTGACCAGATGCTTTCTAGATGCTAGAGAGTGGTGGTAGGGTAAATAGAGATACTATCTCTATCCCCATCCCCAACTTTGTAGTTCATTCAGTTAACATTTGTTGAATTCCTGTGACATGCAAGGCAGCCAGGAATACTACAGCAAAGAAGGAACAACAGAATCCTGCCCTTACCTGGTCTACATTCTAGTTTATGTGCACTAGGAGGAAGACACGACTTTTTTTTTTATGAAAAAAAATTGAATTTAGAAAAGATTTTAGAGAAAAATCAGAAGAGAGGGGCTGGCCATGCTGATGTGGTGTAGGTGAGGCTTCCTGAGCTGCCAGCAGTTGTGTAAAGAGCTAAAGGAGGTAGCTGGTGGCAGGTGCGTTAGGGATACAGTAGGTGCAGAGGCCAGTGGGACACAGCCAGATCCAGCCTATGACCTGTGCTGCGTAAACTTACCGGAGCAGCTCATTCTCTTACGGTGTTGACTCAACATCACAAGGACTCTCCCAAAGGCTGTTTGAAAAGAAATGGGACTGGCCCTTTAGAGAAGCTTGCTGACCTCAACTGACAGAATCTGCAAGAAGACCAATGTGGTCGGGGGGAAGAACCTAAAGATTTAGGTGGGAGCGTGGGAGAAGTAAGGCTGTTGGAGAGGATAATCAGGCCCCATTAGGCATGGGTCATTTTAAGGACAGACAGGGTTAGAAAGCACTAGAGGAATTAAACAAAATGACACTAAGTTAGTTCTTACTGGCATCGTCTGCCACTGTGGGGTCTGAAAAGCCTTTCTGCCTCATATTGGGCACTAAGGTGATGCATAGGTAACAATTATTTCTGAACATAGACTTGCACTCTATCAGTCATAGAGTGCATTAAAATCATCCCCTAGTGAGTTCCACCAGTGGGAGCATTAAGGCTCAGGTGCATAGCCTTCATGGCCAGTAGATAGACAGCACTCCTCCCCAGCATGTGCTGCACACGTGTTGACACCTAACATGCATGTCTGAGGCTGCTTGACCATCTCTCTCTCCAGCCGGACACACTGACCCAATACCCACCACTCTTGGTGCAGAGGTCTTTAGACCTGGTTAATTGGTGTGAGTGAACTTCAGTTGAAGCATTATCACTCTTTTAAAAAAAACTTTGCTGTTGAATTCTGAACCTCTACGAGGCTCTGCACAGCCCTAAGAGTTTGCAAAATAACATACAGGAAACGCTGGTACCTTCCTGACTTTCTATAGGGACCCAAATTATCAGTGCCAAGGAAAAGAGGAAATGAATGAATGAATGAATGAATTGTCACTGGGTGGTCAAGCATAGACATGCGAGACGGAACAGAAAGCTTGGGTTCTAAAGCTGCTGGTCATTAGCTCTGTCCTGGAGCAAACCAGTTACAAATGTGTGTGGAGGGTGAAAAGAACAAGCTCCCCCGCCCCCTTCTAAATGGACCACTCTGATGACATCACAACCTAAGTGGTTGCCAAGGCACTGCTGGAGTTAGGCTTTCATTTCTCCTCAGGAGCTCTAGGGTGTGGATGTAAGAAGGTGAGGAAGGGAGGCAGATGGCGACAAAGAACAACCGTAGCCCTAAGCCCGTGGGCACAGCCCAGGGCGACCTTGGAGAGGCAGGAACACTGCCAGCCCCTGAGGCTGGCATCCGGGACACAGGTTCCACTCAAGTGAAGATGAAGCCCAAGAAAATACGCAAGATCAAGGCGCTGGTCATTGATCTGGGCTCACAGTACTGTAAGTGTGGCTACGCCGGAGAGCCGAGGCCCACCTACTTCATCTCCTCCACTGTGGGCAAGCGCAGCCCCGAGATGGCTGCAGACGCTGGCGACACCTTCAAGGAGACGTACGTGGGCCATGAGCTGCTCAACATGGAGGCATCGCTAAAGCTGGTTAACCCACTAAAGCATGGCATTGTGGTGGATTGGGATTGCATCCAGAACATCTGGGAGTACATCTTCCACACTGCCATGAAGATCCTCCCAGAAGAGCATGCGGTGCTGGTGTCTGACCCTCCGCTCAGCCCCAGCAGCAACCGGGAGAAGTATGCTGAACTCATGTTCGAGACCTTCAGCATTCCTGCCATGCATGTGACCTCTCAGGCGCTGCTGTCCATCTACTCCTATGGCAAGACCTCCGGGCTGGTGGTGGAGAGTGGGCACGGAGTGTCGCACGTGGTTCCCATTTCCGAGGGGGACCTGCTGCCGGGCCTGCCCAGCCGTGCAGACTACGCGGGCTGCGACCTCACCAACTACCTCATGCAGCTGCTCAATGAGGCGGGGCACAAATTCTCGGACGACCACCTGCACATCATAGAACACATCAAGAAGAAGTGCTGTTACGCGGCGCTGCTGCCAGAGGAGGAGATGAACCTGGGCCTGGAGGAGCTGCATGTAGACTACGAGCTCCCGGATGGCAAGATCATCACCATCGGCCAGGAGCGCTTCCGCTGCTCCGAGATGCTCTTCAAGCCATCCCTGGTGGGCTGCACCCAGCCCGGCCTCCCCGAGCTCACGGCCACCTGCCTGGCCCACTGCCAGGACGCTGGCTTCAAGGAGGAGATGGCTGCTAACGTACTCCTCTGCGGTGGCTGCACCATGCTGGACGGCTTCCCCGAGCGTTTCCAGAGAGAGCTTAGTCTCCTCTGCCCTGGAGACAGCCCAACGGTCGCCGCTGCTCCCGAGAGGAAGACGTCAGTGTGGACCGGCGGCTCCATCCTGGCCTCATTGCAGGCCTTCCAGCAGCTCTGGGTCAGCAAGGAAGAGTTTGAGGAGCGGGGCTGCGCAGCCATCTACAGCAAATGCTAAGGGGCAGGCCCCACAGGCGGGAGCTGGAGAGCAGATTGCCCCTCGGGGGGCCACTATACCTTCACAGAATTTCTCATAAAAGTTTAACCTGTAACGGTCATGTTTGGTCTGGAGTTCTTGGTCAAATCTGATGGGGGTGGCAACAAGTTGAGTTTAGAAAGAGCAGCCCTGTGCTTAGTTGAGTGTGTGTGACTCGGCCCTTCTCTTGGGAGGCCATGTGAATGCGGAGCTCTCTTAGATTGGCTGTGGCAATGTTTCTTTCCAGAAAGGAAGGCAGCTTGAAGTAGCCCTCCATGGAGCGGAGAGTCTCATTAAAATGCCTAGTGCCTGAGTGAGACCAGAGTGAACTACTCCGGATCCTTTAGGTACTTGAGCCAGCACGTCCCATCTCCTGTGCCAGCTCCGGGGTCTGTCCTTCAGCTGTCCTTTGCAATGGCCTTCCTCTAGAACAGTGGTGCATGGAGGGCCCAAGATTGGGGAGCCTCTTATTAAAATATTAAGAACAATACTCCACTTTTCCTCTCACAAAAGAATGGCTGCATGAGAATTTTGTTCACAGAGATCTAACACAGAGATGCAAAGACCTTTGAGCATCCACCAATCACTGTCTTGTGTATTTACTTCTGACCTGTCCCTCAGGTTAGGCTTGGAGAGTCCTGAGAGCAGGAGGTGTACCCCCATCGTTTGAGTTTTTCCAAAACCCAGGAGAACAGACACCTTATTCCAAGTTGTGAGACCATCCATGTTAGAGGTAAGGGCAGGGAGGCTTGAAGATGCTGGGTCTTGTCTAACAGCCACCTGCCTGGTAAACTGGAGTCTCCTGTTAATTTGTGTCCAAAATGCACCCTTCATTTCCTACCTTTTGGCAAAATTACCAACCCTTCTCTTTTTAAAGTATATAAATTACTTTCACATAATGAGAGAAAAATGGGTTAAAATTTCATAGTAGTCAAACTTTAGGCTTTGAAATTAAGGCTAGTATTTTAGCGAAGGAGATTCTTGCTTTATCTGAGGTTTTCAGGGACACAAATTTTTGGAGTGACACGAAGTGTTAAAGTCCTACCACACCTTCACTGCCTGTCCAGGCTGCCCCATCTTTCCTCACTAAAAATTGTATCTACCAAGCATCATTTGTATATGTCTTTTTTTAAAAAAAATTTTTTTTTGGTCAGTTGGTTGGGTTTTAGTTTTAGTTTTATAATGGTCTCCCTAGGTACCCCTCGATGGCCTGTAACTCACTATGTAGGCCCAGGCTGGCCTTGAACTCAGAGAATCCACCTTTCTCTGCCTCTCAAGTGCTGTGATTACAGGTATGACACCCACACTCAGCTTGTACAAGGTGTCTTAAGAAATCAACTTGATTTCAATACAAGTCATAAAGAGTTTTCTGTTTGGGGACTGGAGAGATGGCTCAGTGATTAGTAACAGGTACTGCTCTTACTGAGGTCCTGAGCTTGGTTCCTAATCAGACCTATGTTGGGTAGTTTATAGCCACCTGTGACTAGAGCCCCAATGGGATCAATACTTCCAGTGGGCACCTGCACTTGTGGGCTCATGAATGTGGTGGCACCCACATATACATGTTTTTTAAAATATTAACAGAGTTTTCTGTTTATTAATTTTTTTCAGTTAACCAGTGGGGAAGTTAAGGCAGAGATGCGTCTTGTGGTATGTATGCTGGGGCTGCTTTTTAGCGGCTGCCAAGAGTTGATAGTATGTATTCAGGAGTAACTTGAAACTTGCCATGTGGGACGATTTACACCTACAGAACAAACCAGTCTCCTCCAGCTTATTTAAATGGGGAGATGGCTGATCGTAATCTGTGGAGGCAACACCAAAAAAACCCCAAAACAAAACAAAAACAAAAAAACCCAAAAACAAACAAACAAACAAACAAAAACAAAAAACAAAAAACCCCCACCAGTACCCAAACCTGAACATACCTCCTCTCCATTAAGTCAATAGACCTCGGGAAGAAACAAGGAACCCATATCTGAAAAGTTCTCTGAGGAATTCTAATTGACACTCTATTGTTTAGAAGCGAGCATGGCACATACTGTCCATATTTCAAGCAAAATGGAAG